GTCAATCATTAAACAGAAAGAGAAAATAATGAAGTTCAATTGTGGAAATATGAAAAAAATGAGGATGACTCCTTATTTGGACATTGATGAATGTTTGCTAAAATGGTTTACTCAGTGTCGAGATAAAAACATACCATTAAATGGAACAATTTTACTTGAAAAAGCAAACGAATATGCACAAAAATTAGGACACACTAATTTTAAAGCTAGTAGTGGATGGCTTACAAATTGGAAAAAAAGACACGATGTAGTTTTTCGAACTATTTGTGGAGAAAAAGCTTCAGTAGACACACATTGTTGTTCAAATTGGATTAAAAATCTTCCTGATGTCTTAGCAGGTTATTCTTCTAATGATATTTTTAATGTCGATGAAACGGGCTTATTTGTCAAATGCAGAATAATTTATTCAGTAATTTTTATGTATTTTAGGCATTCGTATTATTTATTATTCTTATACAACATACATTTCTATTATTTTTTATTTTTTAATAAAACTCGATATCTCGAAGTTTTCGATATCTCGAACTTTTTTCTGTTCCCCTTGAGATTCGACATAACGAGAATCTACTGTAATAAAATATATATCTCATTACCTCCATATTATACGTACTTGTTTAGGTAGAAATTCCACACTATAATTTATTATAATTAATCTACAATACATTGTATCGTAATATAAATGACATAATATACTTATAATAATATACATAGTATACATAATATACTAAATAATATATACATTTATGCAATAGTACATATAATTTTAAATTTCCAATTTTGTATCTAATTTGTGTCTTGTCTTGGTGGCTGTTAGAAGGAATGCTATATTATAATCTCATATAATATTTTATGCATAATTATAATGCAAAAGATTCAATTCCACTGCTCCGTTGAGGAACAAACGGAGTGTGTATTATGTATGGTGTTTGGAGCAACAAATTTATATACGAGTGGTATAATATAATGTTGTAAGTATTTTTTGCGATAACGGATAAACTAATTAAAGAGCAAAATGTAGTTGAGTGCAAGTTTGTGTTCAATCGTATTTATTAAGGAAAAAAACCGACACAAATATCGAGATTCAGTGCATAAACATATTTTTAAAATCACAGCACAGTTGTTCGACCACTGGTAAGAGAAGAAACACAAAAACAAATACCTAGAAAATAAAAATAAAACTAAAGAAAACTTGCCGAGCTTCGTAGTTTTATTTTAATCAAAAGATCTAAGTGAATGCTAATAATTCTCATGATTTTTTCTCCCCTTTATTTCACGAAAGAAATATTTACGCGAAAAGTCAAAGGAAATATTTTGTATAAATTTGCGTAATCACCAGCGCTTTGTTTCGAAAAAGAAACCATGTAATTAATTGAAACGTCGCACTTACTAAATGAAAACAAACAACTGCAGTTTTGAACCGTGTTTTCGTATAGAATAATAATATTGGGCGTTTTTTTCTTTATCTTAGTCTGTCTGTCTGTCTCTCTTCACTTTCTGTCTGTCTATCTGTCTTTCTCTATATGTATATAATATACCCTTTTATCTCTTTGTAATTCTATGTAACAAAAAAAAAAAAAATGCTTAATTATACTTTGATCCAAATGCACCAAATTCATGTGATTCTAATATTATCAACTAGATGGTACACATCTATATTACGGACTTATAATGCTATTTAATGCATTAACAATATTGTTAAAATGTAGCTACCAAGAAATCATTACACGTCAAAATAAAGCTATAAATTGTCATATTTTTCAGAATAGATCTTATATAACTGCAGCATAAGACTCATATTTCTAATTTATATTTTTGATAATACATTGGACGTTTTACTTCTTATTTTTATCATATTATTTATTTAAATTTATTAAGTACTCATATAATGATATAATAAAATCCTATACAAATTATCAGAGTTCTATAAAACACAAATGTAACGAAGTATTTAAACCGTTAGTCGTTTTTTAGTAGGACATTTTTCATAAATGAAAACAAAATTCTAAAATGGAGGTAGATGAGTACCCTGCCTTTCCTCATCTTAAGATTACTCTTGGAAACTTGAGTTTATAAAAATCATAATGTGAACTTAATGTTAATGTAGAATAATTTAATGTACGATATATGGCGTTACATAATATTGATAAAATGTTTAATAAAATAACTAATTCATAATATGGACACATTTTACGGAGTGGACATAATATGACATAATAACACTTATGGCACACAATACGACATATTATGACTTGTAGGTATATGGATATAATCGATTTCACTATAGAAAGGAAGAAAAATTCTGAACTTTTTTACAACATTTATTATATTTCAGTAACATACCACGTAAAGATATACATTTAGTGAAATCGTTTTTAAGAATTTCAGATTTTTAGAAACGTTGAACTTAACAACATATGTATTGTTTTATTATAGGTATTTAAATTGAACTATCCGACATACTAATATACTTCAATACATTAATAACTGAAGTATCAGTTTTAAAAATATATCTTGTCGTATTATTTGTATTATTGTACAGCACTATAGCTACAAAATACATATATTTCTGCGTACTGTTATAAAAATTATAAATTAAAATACATTTTTTTTTGTGTAATAGATAAATATGATGAAAGTAAATAATTATCATTATTATTGAAATTAATATTATTTTTACCAATTAATAATTTAATATAATATTATGAAAAACTACGTATTTTAAACACCTTATTTAAATAAATAATTCACATTCCTCATTAAGTGGTGTGCAGTACGCGTGTTGACACCACTTTAAAACGCGCATTGTTAGTAAAGCTACCTCCACCACTATAAGTATAACCTAAATAGTTAAACAATTTGTGTGTAGTTTTGACGATGTGAACGGACTCGGGGACATTTAATATCACTGTCATTACATACTAAAACACGAATGAAAGCCAAAATACTACCCATATTGTTTGTTTGCATTTGTTTCCCAATGGAAATATTAAATTCTGAATAGAATACAAACAAAATAATTAATAATTAAATAAAAAAAGTTTGATCGTATTCATGTCGAGCCTTCTACGGATGTCTAAAACGATTCTCAATTTATTCTAAATAGATTGATCATATAAATTGGTTTTGAAACTTATTGGATCGCGTGTTCGTTATTTTTTTTTTATATTGGAATTATTTTTGGAACTCTTGAAAGGAAAAACTAATAGTTAACGCAGTACAGGTATATTGTATTATAATTTATAATATGATCGGAATGTGACATACTCATGGTTAAAAACAAAACGAAAGAACGAAATCYACGCATAAAGAACGAAAACTTCATGAGATAAATCATTTTTTTATTTATATGATATGTTATCATTAATTCCTTACATTTTTGTTCACCTTATTTCGCCATTATTGAATTGTTCATTCCCAAACTTTTCATCTAGACGTCACGTGATACCTGAAGATGATGTCCCGTGTACTCAACGGGTGAAACGTGGAAAATTTAAACTAATATGCGAGAAATGTTATGATTTAGKGAAAACTAAGTGCAGATCTCAGATTTGGGAGTGAAATGTTTTGACATACAACGTGGTTGAGTGACTGTTTGCAATAAATTGCATTGCACATTTATTATACATATCCTCAAACCCTAAGGGAAATAAAATTAAATATCAAAATAAGTTAGTAATGACGTTCAAGATATGAGGGAAAAAAATCATGATAAAAAAAATTAAAAAAGTCGTCACTCCATCACATAAATAATTTTGGTTACATCTAACCTACGTATATTTGTATCAACGTAGTAAATCTAACGTAAAGTTTGTTTAAAAAAAAACATGTCCTGACTCATAGAGCAGCATTGGAAATCATATTATTTGTTCTGCACTTTAATCTCTTTCCAACTCATAGAAATATGTTTATTAAAACTTTCTATAGGTAGAACAAATAACATTCAATCATGTTTACCCACAAAGCAGCCTGTGACATATATATACATTTTCGAGTGAGCTTATAGACAACCCTTCCATGACCACTACCTTTCCTTAGTATCTTCTATGGACAAGATATTATTTTTAACACGTTGGCTACCAGACTTGATTTTAAAAATATTTTTTTATTTACGATGAGTATCACCCGTGACTCTCAAAAAATATAAGTTTTCTTGGTTATTGAATTCTACAAAACTTTAAGAAAACGAAATACCTGAGAGTCACCAGCAACTCACACGATACACACATAATGACGATTTGTGAGTCCCCCGCGACTCTCATGGTACATAACCAGAGATCGTAAAAATTATGTCTATTGTATCATGGTGTGAGACACCCGTGATACTCATGGTAGCCAACGTAAGCGTTAATTATTCGTTTCAATTTGTGTGTATAGTATAAACGAGTTTGTTGGCGACGTAAATTAACTGTTTAATAGCCGTACCAATGATTGGTTGAGAGAAATATTTCTTTGAATATTATAATTTATAATATACAAGGGTATAACATTATAGACATTATTTTTTTATACAAATATTATTATATTGATACTTTCTTGTGAACTAATTTTTGAAGTGCCTTTGTTATTCACTACTATTATAATAATTTATATTAGGTATGCATCATCGTGATAGATATATTACTAGTCTGAAATTATGTACGTTGAGTTATACCATTATCAATACATTACTGTAGTAAACAATTTATCAATGGAAGTTAAATACATATTTAAAATCAAATACCAATACTATTATGTATATATTATGATAGGATGTAGAGAGCATTTAACTTTTATAAAATCATTATATATCTTGGACTTTACACCCTGAAGGGTTTAAATAGAATAAAAATGATAATAAGAGTATAATAATTCTATTCTAGAGGAAAAAAATTAAATTTAAAAACTGAACTATTTATTACGTTAAGGCATGTGTATTACCTGATGATTACTTAATAATGAATTGTACTAGATGTATTAAATTGTTCGTCAACATGCGTTTATACGTTAATTCAAGCAGTTAATGGTCGAATATGTTTTAGTTTGCAATGTATAATATTGTATATTACAAATTTAATAAATTATGATTATAATTCCTACAGGAATACCAAGCTTAAGGCTTGTAAGTACATTTTTTGCAAAATAACAAATTTCCATTCTCAATGTCCAATATATTTATAAAATAAATTATGAAACTAGGCAATGAATCTATAATTTTAATACATAAACACACATATTATTGCATCCATTACGGCTAGGATATATTTTACTAATACTATTTATATTTTATACTTTATTACATTAATGTTAGGTAGATTTATCTTATCTATAATATAAAAATGAATATCATATAGTATTAACTGACTATAGTGTATGTATAATAATATCGTATTAGATACACATTAATATTAAAAACAATCAATGCACCTAATA